ATTTTTAACAAAAAAAAAAAAAAAAAAAAAATTTAAAGGCAAAACTGCTGCCTTTTAAAGCCAGCAGTTCGCTGCCTTATATTTAAGGCAGCAACTTGCTGCCTTTTAAGGCAGCGAACTGCTGCCTTTGAAAGGCAGTAGTCGCTGCCTTCAAGGCAGCAAAACTGCTGCCTTTCAAGGCAGCTGAAAAAAAAAAAAAAAAAAAGGAAAAAAAAGGTGGAGAAAACGAGCCTGCCCGGCTCGGCCCGTAAAAAGCCCGAGCAAAAGCTCGGGCCGAGCCTATTTTTTTTGGCCGAGCTTTTGCTCGGCTCGGCTCGAGCCCGCAAAAAAGCTCGGTCACTTTAACCGGGCCGAGCTCGAGCCGAAACTTTAGGCTCGCGAGCCGGCTCGGCCCGGCTCGTTTACATCCCTATGCCCGTCCATAAATATGACTCTTGAAAAGCGTGAAAATGTTCTGTTAAAAGGAAAAAAAAGAAAAACTGGAAAACGCACAATAGAGAAAAGCAAAGGGTGCGATGAGGGAGAAGGGTGTTGGAACAGCGGTGGAGCATGGCAAAACCATTCAAAACGACATCGTGGAGGCTTCTCCGCCACCAGCCGACCGCCCCGTCCGTGTCTACGCTGATGGGATCTACGATCTTTTTCATTTCGGCCATGCCCGCTCCCTTGAACAGGCAAAAATGTCGTACGTATATATTAATTCATATATATTCACATTTGTCCATGTTAATGTTACTATGTATGTGCATGCATCATCTTTTCGTGTTTATGTTGATTTTTCAATTCTTCTACTAGTGGAACTTGCGGAAACGAAATTTCGCTAAACTAGGACGGTTATAGTTACGGAAGGAATGGATTTTCCTTACATTTACGGTATATGGTTATGGCCGGAAAAAATTTCGCTACGTTAGGATGATTATGGTTACGGCTGGAATGGAATTTTGCTGCATTAGGACGGTTACCGTGATGGCCGGATGAAATTTCACGGCGTTAGGACGGTTATAGTTATGGCTGCCGGGCTTTAATTGTTTTTATTTCTTTTTTGCTTAATTATCAATGTTTAATTTGGATTATGGATTCGTGCTTTCAAAAATTAAATTGACCAAAATTCTGTCACTCATCTAATAGAAGTTCGTCATATGTGAATTTTTATGTTATTTCTGTTATTGAATGATTTTTTTCAGTACGAATTATGTGTATAATTTGATTTCCATAGGTTTATATACTCCGTGGTCTTTGAATTTGATATCTTATGTTCATATGTCTTTACATGGTCAAGCGAATGGTGAATATTAAATTTCTCATGTACATGATGCAATGTGTGTTTGTAGGTTTCCCAACACATACTTGCTGGTGGGATGCTGCAGTGATGAAGTAACTCATGCATTCAAGGGCAAAACCGTTATGACTGAATCTGAGCGTTATGAATCACTTCGCCATTGCAAGTATGTTTCTCTTAGGTGCTGTTCATTTTCTATCGTACTGTACATTTTACTTTTGTTTTGGATGTTTCTATTTGTACTGAGAAATTGAATATGGCCAGATGCGATTTTCCTATGACTTGGATATTTATGTTAAGTAGATTGTAGATCAATTATAGTAATGAGTCCCTAAGCAATTGGATGGATCCTAACTTTATATTGTTTATACTGTGATAATGATATATTTGGCATGATTGGAACATTATATTTTGGTTTACTTTTGTTGGTAGGTGGGTTGATGAGGTTATTCCTGATGCCCCGTGGGTGATAAATCAAGAGTTCCATGACAAGCACCGAATTGACTATGTGGCTCATGATTCTCTTCCGTAAGGATTTCTTATCCGTAAAATATTATGTTTACAACTTAACTTTGGATTTATATGGAGAAATTATGTTATTAACTTTTCAGGTGCTCGTGAAGATCTCCTATCCAAGAATTTTCCCCTAGTTTTAATATTTAATTTAGAATTGGTAATATTACATACTGAATGTTCAAAGATCACTGTGAAATGACATGTTATGGACACATTATCCATTTCTTTTGAAACTTGTGCATTTTTAATTATAAAGCACTGGGTTTGTGCAATGTTTTTATTTATCACAGTTATGCAGATGCAAGTGGGGCTGGAAAAGATGTTTATGAATTTGTAAGCATCACATTCTTCCATATATTCTTTTGCTGAAAACGTTTTTATGTGAAGTCATTTGATAATGATACATCAACTTTGATATAGGTAAAAGCTGTTGGGAAATTTAAAGAGACAAAACGGACAGAAGGAATTTCAACATCGGACATAATAATGAGGATTGTGAAAGATTATAACCAATACGTGATGCGTAATTTGGATCGTGGATATTCAAGGGAGGATCTTAATGTTAGCTATGTGAAGGCATGATATTTTACAAATATTCTCTCTTAACTCAGATTTATTTACCAGAAACCTTGTTGGTATTTGTTTCATTAAGATTACTGACTTTTAAAATTTTTTATTTTCATGCAGGAAAAGCGACTCAGAGTGAATATGAGACTGAAGAAGCTACAGGAGAAAGTCAAGGAGCAGCAAGAAAAAGTGGGGGAGAAGGTACGTTTTTTACGAGGGAAAGACTTCGTATTCTTGCCTCCTCCATCTGTTATTTTAATGCATTATCTTGATATAATGAATATTTGAGGCAGTCCATATAATGAATATTTTAGGTAGACTGCCATCAATATATTTGCATTTTTATCCTTATAGACTGAACCAGGCTGCTGTTTATTCGCAAGAAAAGTTTAAAGCTTAAAGTAGGAAGAAAGAAAATGATTAATAAAAGCAAAAAAACAAAGGAAATCCATATGTAATTACAAATAGTAGCACTCTATCTACTACCACCACATCGTTAACACCAAAGGTAATGATTTCTCCTAAAATCTGCTTTCAAAACTTCTTAAAAAACCGGAATCAGTTGTCTAACCTCTTAAATAATATTAACAAACTGTTAGTTGAGCCTATCAGGTTACTAATACAATTTAGTTGTTTTGTTGAAGGGCTTTATGTTCAATAGCTGCATAGAGATAGTTTTGAACTAAGTTCAAGTTGAGGTATGATGTGCAGGTCCCAAGGCTATCCTATTTGATCAATATCTTTAAATCTGACAGGAAATGAGTTTTTCCTTTTAAGCCGGGAATTTACTTTCGGGATTTGTATGTTGATTTTAAGGGAAGTAGTTATGGTGGTGTTGGCAATTGAGGTTTTTGATGGTAGTGGTGTCAAATTAGTGTAGGCCACACAGACTGCTAGTGTTCTCGCTTGCACATACTAGTACACACGTATCTCGAGATAGATTTTTTTGGTTAATAAACAAGCTCACAATGATGAGGAGGTTATTCAAGTTGGGCAAAAGAGAGTAATATTTATAGCTTTTAGTTAAAAGCTCCATGGGCATTGTTATTATATTTGAGGAATCTAGCTAGTCTTTCCTGCTCCATGTATTGCACATTTACAGTGTTTACCTTCTTCCTTTGGATCAGAGTGCTAATTGAAGGTTCCTTCCAAGGTGAAAGCCTTCATTTGGTCTGTCACTACTAATTTATGCTGTGTGGCAACTAAGTTTATATTTCTCCATGATTTATGTGTGATGTTTAATACGTGGCACTATAATCATGATTACACATTTTTTGCAAATGTGTTTGTTCTAGACACCAAAATTGTTTCAGGGAACCTCTTTTATGCTTTCTTCAATAAAGGAATTTTTTTATCTTTGAGTGTTCTGGGATAATGGTCAATTCAAATCTGCTGTGAATATATATATTTTAGAGGGTAACAACCATAAATTGAATAACTATCAGAGAGGCGCTAGTTTCTTATTAATGTATTGTTGTAGTTCATCTTTCAATTGGTATTTTATTTGCTTGATTAAGGATACATCTGTTTTGGCTTTTTCTGAGCTCAAGACCTTCAAGTAAGTGTGTGTGTGT